AAGAAACAAATACTATGGTATTCTGTTTGATTTCACACCTGATTTAGCCCATCGTGAGCAATTGGCCCAAGTGATTCGGTTTGTTGACATTGACTTCAAAACAAGAAAAGTAGAAGTCAAAGAGTCATTTATTGACTTTATACAGATAAAGGAAAAAGACGCTGCCAATATTGAGAAAACAATACGCACAAAATTAGAAGCTGATGTAATTTTATTGAGTGATTGTTGTTCACAATGTTATGATAATGCTGCTGTCATGTCAGGTCATCTGTCAGGCGTTCAACAAAGAATTCTGAACAAAAATCCAAAAGCAGTGTTTATAAACTGTGACAACCATAGTTTGAACTTAGCATGTCTGCATGCTGCAAGTCAGGAAACAACAGTTATTACCTTTTTTGGTATAATTGAAGCCATTTATAATTTATTTACTCATTCAACAACTCGATGGGACGAACTGCAGCAGGAGCTTAAGATCTCTGTCAAGCTTGAATCAGAAACACGGTAGAGTGCAAGAGAAAAGGCAGTAAAAGTTGTACATGAAAAACTGGATGTATTGCTAGGACTGTTAGAGCAATTAAGTGAGAATGACAACACAGCTGAAACAAAATGTGGTGCTCATAATATTCTGCAATACATGCTTACATTTGATTTTCTTGTACTTTTGCATTTTTGGAGAACTCTTTTATCTATCAATCGAGTGAAGAAACGTCTTCAGGACCCAAAAATGAATTTTAGAGAAGCAGCTGCTGATCTGGATTCTTTGAAAGAGAAATTGATAGAATCACGTGAAAAGTTCTGTCAAGAAGCACTTAAAGTGGGCAAGGATCAATGTGAAACATCGGAATTGACCATTGAAAGAAGAAAAATACGTCGTAAACGAATGCCAGGTGAAAATGCAGCTGATACTGGATTGACTGCTGAACAGGAAATTTATCGCATCATGAAGGATGTTATTGATCGCTTGATTACAGAAATAACAGGAAGATTTTCTCGCGTACTAGATTTAAATTCACGGTTTGGATTTCTACTAGATGTGCAAAATATCGTTTCTGGAGATTTCGAAGACGGAAAATTGCAAGAAAAATGTTCTGACTTAGCAAAGAGCTATCCAGATGATATTGATGGACCAGAATTGTACAGAGAAATTAAAGACTGTGGAATGTTGATAAGTAAAAGAACACAGACCGATTTTCCTGAACCAATGGTTGCAACTGATTTGGTAACATTTATAATTTCATATGGTGAAGATATTTTCCCAAATTTAAGAATTGTTTTACAGATTTTGTTAACAATTGGGGTTTCTATTGCTAGTTGTGAAAGGTCCTTCAGCAAGCTGAAATTAATTCTTTCATACTTGAGAACCTCAATGACTCAAGAACGACTTAGTAACTTGGCAATATTAAGTATTGAAAAAGACGTAATTAATACCTTAAATTTTGATAGTTTAATTGATGCATTTGCAGCAGCAAAGCACGAAAGGTTCATATAATGTAACCATGAATACCAGAATGCTACCTGTACAAGATCTAGTTAAGTATATGTACAGTTTTGTAAACTAATAAAATTTGTTATTTGTAAACTTAAGTAGTATTTTATCAATCTGTTTTATAATCCATATACACCACAAGTGAGTGGCTTCTCATATAAAACATATGTTTCAAAACTAGGGATATAAGAGAAATTTATTCTGCATGCTTGATAGATTACTCTAGCTACGTGAATCTGAACAATACAGGATGACATAAATATCAAAATGGTTTACAAATTACGTAAGTACACCTAGTAAGCTATACTACATTAGTTCCAAGTTTACAGTTGTGATATCGTGATATGTTATATTGTGACTTTATTTTAGGCCTGTGTAAGGCGGTAATTAATTCTTTATGTTATTGTCATTAAGTGATTAATGAGTCACAAAACAAATAATCAAAACATTTCAGAGGTGGGGGCACCAAAAGTGTCTTTGCCCCCGGGTGCTGAGAACCCTTGCTATGCCACTGAGTCATTTTACTGAAGGCTTTCCAAAAAATGTAATTGAGCTTATTATTGAGATTCTTACTGATTACTATCAAACTATAGGATAATGTATATTTTATAATTTCTGGTGGCATGTGTCGTTTTAGAGTTCGATACATGTTGAATTTTCCAGATGCCATTGTTAACTGGTAATATATGGTTACCAGTAGTCAGAGACTGCTTTTTTTATGAGTAACCACTGCTGGTGGGAATTACTTATAAAATCATGTTTGATTTTGGATTAGACATAACCATCCAATTTAATGATTGATTATTGGTAACAATATAACTGTTAATTAGACAGTCCTATGTAATTAGTGATTGTAATGAATATTGTTTAATAGTTTCTTAAATATGGCTTTGGCTGTCTTGACAATATATGCTAGATTCCTTTAATCTTGATTGTGTGTTGACATGCCTACTCATCAACCAGTTGCAAGTGCTATTGCATATGGTGTCAAGTGTGTGTCTACGATGTCATGTATGATTAACACGAGTGAGAGAAGAAGAGAATTTCCCTATTGTGTAGGTTTTTCCTGCTGTGAAAATATATGATACATTTTTTAATTTTTTATATTTGATAGTCAGAATATTAAACAAACACTTGGTTGAGAGCACAAAAATGTTTGATTTTTGGTATAATCAGTGGTTGCTTACACCACTAATAATCACTTATAAAAATCCAAATGATGAAATTATTTGCTGGTATTGCTGTATTATTTATACATCCCATTCAGTCCAGTTGTGCATGCAAACTTGAAGTAATGATATTAATTTTATTTAACACCCTTCATTGATTAGATCAGTCACACTGAACATTATCTTACCTGTTAATAAAGTTTATTTTCTTGTAAGTCCTATTTTTGTAGTATCTGGTTTAATAAAAGTATATATGTCAGAATGGACAAAATTTAAATAATAACATAAAATGTCAGCCTTATATGAAGAAAAATATTGCCATCTATTGGTTAAGTTTTACATATACCAATCATATTATTATATGATATATATATATATATATATATATATTTTGATTTCATTTCTTCAGAGAAAATATAAACTGAACGGGCTATATCACGCTTGTTTCTTTTTCTAAGAGTTGATGTATATTCAGGAAATTAAAAAACACTGAAGGATTCCACATGTCAATTTCCCAAAGGGTTCCATTAAATTCCAGTATAACAATAAACTATTAGTCACTGTATAATTGCAATTGGTACAATCTCGTACCATATGCTTATTTAATGAATTGGAATGTTCACTTATGGTGTCATAAATCAGTTGTAACAATGATTGCTAACATCTGGTAGTTTTAGTTCTGTTTCACCATTGGCTTGAATTAGATTTGAACAAAAGAAGTAGTAGTCTCGTATGGTGTTTCTCACACCTCTTTTGGAGGTGAGTATCCGGGAGTAGGACTGGCGTCCTAGTCCGGACACTGGGTGGGCATGTTTCGGTGTGATGGGGAATCAAACCCGCGATCCGGGTTTGTTTCCGGGATAGTTTTTGCTCTGTTTCACCATTGGCTTGAATTAGATTTGAACAAAAGAAGTAGTAGTCTCGTATGGTGTTTGTCACACCTCTT